AAAACTATAAATAACTATCCTTTATGAATATAGAAAAAAATCATTAGCAAAATATTAGCAAATAAAATTCAGCAAAAAATATAAAAAGAATTATACACCTAAACCAAGTGGAATATACTCCAGGAATGCAAGGCTGGTTTAGTATTCAAAATCAATCAATGCAGCCCATATTAACAGACTAAAGAACAAAAATCTATGACCATATCAATCAGTGCAGAAAGAGCATTTGACAAAATTCACTACCCATTCATAATAAAAATTCTTTTAAAAACAGGAATAGAGGAGTAACTTTCTCAGCTTAACAAAGAGCATCCTACAGCTAACATTACACATAATTGTGGGAGATACAATGCTTTTTGCCAAAGATTGGGAACAACAACAAAAAAATGCTTGTTTCCTATACTCTTATTCAGTATGGTCCTATAGTTCTAACAAGTGCAATAAGGAAAGAAAAGGCCTACAGATTCAAAATAAAGAAATAAAACTGTCCCTATTTGCAGATAACATAATTGTCTATTTAGAAAATGCCAAGAAATATACAAAATATCTTCTAGAACTAATAAGTAAGTTCAGCAAAGTCACAGGATACAAGATAATCTAATAATCTAATAAAGATTAATTGCTTATGTATACTAGTAGTGAACATGTGGACACAAAAATGTTTAAAAATAGCATTAAAAATCACTCCAAAATTTAAAAAAAGGTAACGAAAATGCCAAACTTTGGCATAGATGGGAAGAAAATCACTCATTCATTGCTGATGGACATGTGAAATGGTACGGCCCTTCTAGAAAACAGTTTGTCGAAACCGGGTATGGAATCACATGCCTGTAGTTCCAGCTACTCAGAAGGCTGAGGTGGAAGGATTGCCTAAGTCCAGCAGGTCAAGACTGTGGTGGCCGTGAGCATGCCACCTCACTCCAGCGTGGGAGACAGTGAGATTCCAACTCAAAAAAAGAAAAAAGAAAACAGCAAACAGCTTGTCAGTTTCTTTTACTTATTTATTTTTTTAATTTACATTTTTCATTTACTTCAAATCTTATTACAAATATTTTTAAAGTTCTATTGTATAAATTTCAAAAGGCTAAGCACAGAGGTGATTTTCTCTAAGACTTTGTAACTTTGTTTTATTTATTTTTTTAAACATATTTTTTATTTTTATTGTGGGGTACAGTTAAGGGTTAGGTATACAAATATGCATCATTCAGGCACTAATCATCAAGGAGATGCAAATTAAAACTATTTAGTTATTTATTTTATTTTTTATTTGAAAGATGTGAGGTCCAGTTAGGGGTTAGGTATACAAATGTTCAATTTGCAGGTACCCTTGTTGATGAGATGAAACTCCCTCTCCCCTGGCAGTTTCCCACTACTGCCAGTCCCTTTCTTATAGTATTATGATAATTGTTCAAGGTTTGCGTAAGAGTGAAAACATGTGGTACTCATCAGTTCTTTGTTTCTGTAATAGATCACTCAGTATTATAGCCTCTAAGTCCATTCAAGCTGCTGCAAAGTTCATAATTTTGTCCTTCTTTATGACTGCATAATATTCTATCATGTATATGTACCATTTTTTTTATACATTCCTCTTCAATAGGCAGCATGGTTGGTTCCGTGTTTTTGCTATTGTGAATAATGCTGCAATAAACATGTATGTGCAGGTATCTTTTTCATAGGCTGATTTGAGTTCTTCTGGATATATTCCCAGTAGGGGGATTGAGAGGTTGCATGGAAAGGCAATTTTTAGATTTTTTAGGAATCACCAAACTGTTTTCCACAGAGGTTGTACTAGTTTACACTCCCACCAACTTTCAAACATCTAGGCATAGATGGAACATACCTAAAAATAGTACGAGCCATCTGTGAGATATGCACAGCCAACACACTACTAAACAGACAGAAACTAGAACCATTTCCCCTGAAAACTGGAACAAGACAAGGATGCCCACTCTCACCCCTCCTGTTCAACATAGTATTGGAACAATACTATATTGTCCTAGCTAGAACAATCAGACAAGAGAAGAAAATCAGGGGTACCAAATAGGAAAAGAGGAAGTTGTTATCCCTCTTTGCTGATGACATGATTCTATACCTCAAAAACCCAAAAGAATCTGTCAAAAACCTCCTTGCACTGATAAAGGACTTTGGCAAAGTCTCAGGATATAAAATAAATGTGTAAAAGACAGTTGCATTTCTATACACCAACAAACAAACAGAAACCAAATAAAAAGCACAGTCCCATTCACAATAGCCACAAAAAAAATGAAATACCATGGCATCTTCCTAACCAGAGAGGTCAAAGACCTTTACAACGAAAATTACAAAACACCGCTCAAAGAAATCAAAGATGACATAAACAAATGGAAAAATATTCTATGCTCATGCATTGGAAGAATCAACATTGATAAGATGTCTATACTCCCCAAGGTAATCTACAGATTTACTTCAATACCCTTTAAATTACCAGCAGCATTCTTCTCAGACCTGGAAATGACAATACAGGAATTCATATGGAAACATAAATGACCACAAATAGGCAGTTTCTTAAAAAGCCGAATATGCAACTCCCACACAACCTAGCGATTAGACTTCTGGGCATTTACCTCAGAGAAATTAAGACTTAAGTTCACACAAAAAGCTGTACACAGATGTTTATAGCAGCTTAGTTTATAATCACTTAAAACTGGAAACAATCCAGATCCTTTAGCAGGTGATAAACTATGGTACATCAGGACAATGGAACATTGCTGAACTATAAAAAAGAACAAACTATTGGTACATATTACAACCTGGATGAATCTGTAGATAATAATACTGATGAAGGAAAAAAGACAATCCTAAAATGTTACATAATCTATGATTCCATTTATGTAATATTATTGAAATGACAAAATTATAGAAACTGGGAACAGAATAGTGAATGCTAGAGCTAAGGAGGTAGGGATGAGAAGGAAGTGAATGTGGCTATGAAAGAGCAACATGAGGGGTTTGGTGGGGATAGAAGTGTTCTGTATCTTGACTGTATCTATGCACTATCCTGGTTGTGATATCGTTCTATAGTTTTACAAGATGTTGCAGTTAGGAAGCACTGGGTAAAGGGTATGGATCTCTTTGGATTATTTCTTATGTTTTTTTTTTTTTTTTTTTTGAGTTAGAGTCTCACTCTGTCGCCCAGACTGCTCCCGGCCACCGCAGCCTTGACCTGCTGGGCTCCGGCGATCGTTCTGCCTCAGCCTTCCAAGTAGCCGGAATTACAGGCATGCGCTACCAAGCCTGGCTGATTTTTTGATTTATTGTAGAGATGAGGTCTCGCTGCCCAGGCGGGTCTCGAACCCGCGGGCTCAGGCAATCCACTCACCTCAGCCTCCCAAAGGCGCGGGATCACAGGCTGAGCCACCGAGCCCAGCTTATTTCTTATGATTTAACGTAAAGGAAGGCATTCAGTACCCAGAAGCCATAGGAAGGTGATATTCAGGAGCCTCAGTGGATCAGATAGTGAGTAGTGAAGTCATTATCTTGAGGAAAAGCAGCAGCTTGGGAAGAACAAGGAGACCAATATTCTTTAAGACTAGAGAAGTTATTTTAAAAGTGTTACTGCTTTTGCCATTCTAGCCTCACATCTTTAAATGTGAAAAGAATTTTACAGTAAAGGTCAGATAGGTAAGTTTTCTTTTCTTCTAAGTTTTTCAAACTATGTGAACTTTAACGGATTGCAGTGATGAGGCCATATAATCTCTACAAATGCCACAGTATAATCATCTTGAAAGAGAATATTAAAAGGTTGTAAGAAGGAACATAGATAATTTTTAGGCTTTAAATCCTTGATAAGTGATGGAGAAAGAAAAAAGGGGAATGAAGTACCCGAATATGAGGATAGTCAGAAGTTCTTCAAGATGCCTTACCACACAGCTGTTTAAACATGAAGGGTTGTTAGATCTGTACCCATCAGATAGTAGCTCCCTATCCTTCATCTCCCTAGCCCCTAATAATCTCTATTCTACTTTATGTCTCTGTGAATTTGTCCCATCTAGGTACTTTATGTAAGTGGAATCATATAACTTTTGACCTTTTGTATCTAGCTTATTCCACTTAGCATACATTTTCAAGGTTTTGTAGCATGTTTCGGAGTGAAATACTACTTTTTAAGTGCAAGTACAATTGTAATTTCAAATTCTAGTCCAACTGTTTTTAGAGAAATGCATCTGCATCATATCAAGCTCTTTCTTTCCTTTGCACATTTTGTTCCCCTTGGAACAATCTTTCTATCATTCTGTTCTTATTGCCTCCTAGGTATTCTTTAGGCCTCAACTTAGCAGTCATTGCTTCGAAGAGACATTCCTGGAACCAGCAAGTTAAATTGAGTCATACTATTATATTTTCTCATTATATAATTCTCATTCAAAACTTTTATTTATTTATTCAGTTATTTTTTTGTTCTTCTTTGTCAGTGACTTCTATTTGAGGCCAGACATTCCCTTTGCTATTATATCCCTAACGGCTAGTAAAATGTCTAGAACTTGGTAGGTTTGAATGAATGAACGTTACTTAATGCCACAGGTTCTTCAAACTTTGTATTGACTGTATCATAACAGAGCAATATATCTAAAAATAATGAGCATGATCAGAACATTTATGTCAGAACATTTATGTTCCTTAATTCCCAGTTGTGGTATCAACTGACTGTACAACCTTAGGAAATCATTTAAATACTCTAGTATTACTGTCCTTCTGTGCAAAATGAATAGCATGAATGCTTTTTCCCTTAAGATAGCAGTTGGTTTATATATTTGTAAACAACGTGTAACAGAAAAACCTAATGTATGTTGTTCTTATTGTCATTGTATATGTGGTAACACTTAAAATGATTTTTCAGTAATGGTTTCTATTTAAGTCTGATGAAAGTTAGTTAATTACATAAATATAATAAAAATACTAAGATTTAAAATGTATATTTGGTTATAACCATTGATTCGTCTCTACCATTTTTTTTTTTGCAATAGTATGATTCCATATAAATTGATGCATGATTGGAAGGAACTCTTTTTTAATGGAAAACCTCTATATGAACAAGCCTCTATTAAGCCGCTCCCTCCTAATCCCTCAACAGAACAACTTATAGAATTGGAGAAAAGGGATTTGCTAGATAGCAATGATTATAAAGACTATAAGGTACATGCTAACATGAAATAATTAAAAAGAATGCTACATAATAAACTCTTTTTCTTTAGCATTAATTTGTGATATTACTTTATTTCATTTCTATTAATAAAGATAGACATTTTACATTTGTGTTTTCCCTTGGTTTAATTTGTATTTATAGTACTAATTTTTAGATTCTTAAACTGTTCATAATCTATTGTCTGTTATTTCCGCTAATCTTAGAAGAGTGGTCATAAAAAAAAATCAAGCATAAAAATTGTCTGGGTAGGTAGATTTCAGAGGTTTAAAATGCTTTAATTCATTCATTAGCATTTTTCTTTGTATGAGCTCTCTACCTTTGCTTTAAAAACCATTATTAAAATATCTTTCTTTAGTAATTGATCTAAACAGTATATTGTTTTTGTAGGTAAAATGGAAGAGGAGGAAGTCTGCATTTAATGAATAGCATAGATTCAAACATATTTTATTCAAAGATTTTTTAAAAAGTATTTGGTGGCAACTGTACTTTTTAGAAGAGCTATTAAAAAGCCTTTGTGATTTGACAGACCAGTGTTACATTATTGCCACTGCCAGCTACTAACTGTGTGACTTTAGGTGACCAATCCAAATAAGAGACTCAATTTCTTAATTTATGAAAAGAGAATAATACTATACCTATGACATTTTGTTGTTACAAAATTTATTTAAGATAATATGTGTTAAACAACTAGCTGAGTACACTGCATGTTGGATATAAATAATACATATCAATTTTTTTCATTATCATCCTGCTCTCCCCACCCTACTTCATTTCACCCTTAGAAGTAAAGATGTAACAATCATAGCTCTTGGATAGGTTTGAGTGAAGCAACAGCAATGGAATTAATGAGACTTTTTATCATTGGAAATATTATTGAATGAGTCCCAGAAGTGTAATAAGTGCAACATGGAAAAAAAGATGGAAAGACGATGTGACCCAATTATTTGCTGCTATTTAGTAAATACTTAATGTTTGTTGGAGGAATAAGTGAATAAAATGAATGAATTGCAATGAAGAAGAAAAAGTATAAAACAGCACTATTACAAGAAGATAAGCTTGTGGGTAAAAGATAAGGAAATAATATGAGATTATGAGAAAGTAAAAGTATACCATATTTGAATTTAATTAATCTGTATTTTCAGCATTAAGAGAATTATTATTAATTAAGGATTTACTAGAGCCTTAAGGGATATATGTGGATGTGTATTTTGCTTGGTTGTAAAATATACTAAATCTAGTAATCAATACTATATCAAATAAAATGCCATGTAATAAAATGCTTTGATAATATCGAACTATAGTAAGATATTTCTTTCCATTGCAAATTAAGTCATTTTATTTGACAGAATTTGCTGGTTCATGGAATATTTACTTTTAAATTATTTCTTAAATAGCTCACTCTATTTTTGTTGCTCACATAAATCAGGAGACCTGGTAGGATGCCTCTTAGCAAAGATTTGCCTTTCTAGCTATTTTTCTTGTGTGTGAAATGGTTACCACAGGAACATGCTTGTCTTACCCACATCCTGAAGAAGCTTGTGCGTTTCATTTGCAGGAAACTATAAACTTTTGTTAGGAGTTTGTGCACTGTATTTTGTGCATTGACTTTTCTGTTTTTCTAGAAATGAAAATTTTCTTAAGATTTCTGATGTGTGTTTATAAGCTCTGAGTCCATAATGGAAAATATGCCATATGCAGATTTTAGAATACTCTGTAATCTATTCTACTGTTGTTCTGTTTTCAGATCTTTTATCTCTTGAAGAATTTGTCCTAAATGTTCCTACATACAAGTACAAATAAATGTTTCAACTAGTAAAAATATTTCATATGGTTTAAATAGTCTATCACAAGAGGCAGAAAGAAAATGCATCCTGGCTTAGCCTTTAAAAGAAATAGTTGTCCACATTTGCCATTGTTAAATTTGTTCAGGATTTTTAATGGTGCAAGTAAATACATAACTTGGAAATTTAAAAGTTACATTCTTAGCATACTTTATTGTTACCTATACTCTCTACCCTTAAAGAACTGACAGCTCCCAGTTTTGAGTCCATGCTTTAAAGAACCCATGCTCTGTTAGAATAAGATATATGCTTAAAAATTTTTAATATTATACCTAAAAATTACCATTAAAAACAGATTCTTGCTTATGTACATGTCATATGTAACTGCCAAAAATTTGACTCTTATTTCTTAGTATTATTTTCTAAATCATCATACTCTATTTTTAGAATGACTACATGTGAGGGAGTTCTAGCCTAGGAATGGTGTGACTAGACATCCCATTTGTCCCTCCTAGGGAGAAGGCAGGAACAGCATAATGGAGCAGCCAGACCTTTCTGGGATTACCGGCTAACTGCCAGAGAATAACAAAAATGAGCTGTTCAGTAGAGTGGGTGAGGGCCCTTGAAGCCTACTGGACTATGAATGCAGGATAAACCAAGCAACCCAGCTCCTCTAGTGACACTAGTAACACAGCCCCATGCAGCAGTTCTCAGTTATGCAGTGGACACCTGAGAGTGAACCTCAGACTCTCCCAGATGCAAATTATTTCCATGAGTCTCATCGGCAAATGAGTCATGATTCAGAGCATTTTGTTTTTATGCAAGTTGCTTACTAGCAGTTATCTATTGAATGAGTTTAAGAGTTACTAAAATTTGGTGTTCATAATTAGCTCATGGCTATGGTTTCCTGAAGACAGATTTTTCTAAGTCTCTCCATAAAGCACATACTAATTTGTAGATTACTACTGTGCATGCCTACTACCAAGTTGTGGTTGGAATTCCTATACTTTAGAGAAAAGATATTTAATTTCTAGCACATCATCCATATTGTTCTAGTTGTTTATAATTTTTAAATACTGTTTTTTTCTCTTGATGAAAAATGACTGTTTAAGTTTAAAATTGGTTGTGTGAGTCATGGTTATTAGGTTAACACTACAGTGTGTATTGCAATGTGCATTTTTATTAACATCATTTTGGGCTTATGATTTTTCACTAACTAGACTTGAAGATGTGTTGTATATGTTGTGGTTTAGCAGTCATAGTCTTATCACTATAGCACATGTATAAATGCCCATCCCTAATTTTATTTGTACTATGACATTTATAACTATGAGATCTTTTCCCACTGAAGTATAAGAATATGGGACTAAATGGGTCATGAAGTTGTGTGTCTTCCTAAGTAAGTCTCGTGACTGATTTGACCCCAAAACTCTAGACATCTTCTTACTCTCCAACTCCAGTTATTAGTGTTGATTCAGTAACTTTCTAGACTCAATTTCTGACAGTAGACTCTCTTCTCTAGCTTGACTTTTGCCTTGTTCCCTTACTTCTCAGTGACTGATCCACTCTTCATAGTTTATTATTTAATCAATTCACTTGAGAGATTATCAACATGAAGCCTATACCATTCAAGTGACATCACTGGATAACTGACCTAAGGACAGTAATAGATTTTAGTAGAGAAATAGTAAAGGCATGTGGATAGATCATAATTTTATTTTACCTTTAAAAGATGTACACTGTATTGGTCAGCTCAGGCTGCCATGGTAAAACACCATAGACTGGGTGACTTAAATGACAGCAATTTATTTCTCACTGTTCTGGAGACTGAGAAGTCCAAGATCAAGGTGCTAACTAATTTGATTCCACAATGACAGCTCTCTTTTTGGCTCATTTATGGATGCCTTCTTATTGTGTCCCCTTACAAGGTAAAGACAGAAAAGCTCTGGTCCCTCTGCCTAATCTTGTAAGGATACTAAACCCTTCATGGCAGATCCACCTTTATGATTTCATCTAAACCCAATTTCCTCCCCAGCCTCCTTCAGCCATCACACTGGAGATTAAGGCTTCAACATGTGAATTTTAGGGAAACACATTCAGTCCACAAGCCACAATATGTGTGCTTACTCAAAACATTTACAAAATGTCTCAAAGTGAAAACTTACTAATCAAATGCAGAAACTCCTAGTTTCACATGCAATTGCTTGTTCCATGCCCTCTTTTATTTCTTACTAAGAAACAAAATGCCTCGTCTCAATTTATTAATGCCTTATCTTCTGACAATGAAGATAACTTTATTGGTGAATTTGAGCATTATTCTATTTTAATGAGCAATTTTAATATAAATGTGGAGAATTTCATTGTGAAGCATGGAGGGCCCTGAAAGATATGACATATTTTTATTTTCAGCTATGCAGGAATACAACTGACCTTTAGGTAGGTAGAGTAAGCAGCTACTTCATGATGAGAGTTGAGACATTCTATGAAGATATTCTGTTGTAAAAATACTGCCTATCACTGTACTTGACACCTCACATTATCACTTCTTTATATTAAGTCATCAGTATCTTCTAAAACACAAACATTTCCCAAGATCGGCAATAAGAATCACGATCAGCATCCAAAATAGAAAGGAGCTGGGAAAGAAGGTGCTGAAAGGAAGATTCCTAATATTGTTCCAACTTAGTTTTTAAGGATATATATTTTATAGCTACAATTTCTTCTCTCCATTTTCTTATATTTTCACCTGTATTTCCCCAAATTTCTTCAGTAATGGGAAGGCAATCTAATTGGATTTTTAAGCTAAGCTTCATTGTATCATGGTAGGGTTACCAGTATGCCCTTAAATTTTATCCATAGTAATCAAGCATAGTGTTTCTAACTTACAGAGCATAATATCAGTATATTCATCTTCAAAGGGAGCTATAGTTGCCCTAAGCTAATGGTTGCCAAGAAACAAAGTTATTTTCATGGGCCAAGGATTTCAGAGGGCTGGAGTAGGTTTAGTAGCGGTCTGGAACTTGTATCTAATAGGTAGAAGGAAGGGAAGGGGAACTTGGACCATGGGAAAAGTATTTGGCTTCAAATTACTAGCATGGAAAACAAACTAAGTTCATTTGAAAACTATGGTAGGAATAGTTGAATTGTGGTATCAAGTTCAAGGTATTAGACCAGAATTGAGAGATGTTTACAAATCCCCCACTACAAAA